ACAAATTACTTAAAAGTACACCTGGGGTGAAGTTACAGTTATTAACCACTTGCCCCCCAGAGGATTTACCCCTCATTCCTGACCAGGCCATTTTTTGTGTTGCGGCGCTGCGTTACTATAACGAACAATTGCAGAGTGATGCAACGCTGCACCCAAATTAAATATATGTCCATTTTTTCCCACAAATAGAGCTTTCTTTTGGTGGTATTTGATTGCCTGTGCGTTTTATTTTTTTCACTATAAAAAAAAAAAAAATTTTGAAAAAAAAACCCCACAATATTTTTGACTTTTTGCTAATAACCTCCTTAGCGGTTTTCCCGAGTGTAGCTCGGGGTAAAATTTGAGTACCAAAGAGAGGTAACCCCGAGCTACACTCGGGCTTACCATGCGGCGTTGCTCAGGGGGTCCCTGCAGCACTTACCTTGTCCTTCGCTCCCGCGATGTGTCCCCTCCAGCGTCCCCGGCCATCTCCTCCGGCCGATGTCGGCATCCGGCTTCTGTGTTCCGGTCCCTGTGACGTTGGGACGTACGGGCGCCGGAACCGGCGGGAAATTTGAAATTTTTTAAAAATTTCATTTTTGCTGTCATTGCTGTTTCAATGCATTTCACATATATTTTGTCCCTAGTGCTTTGTCCTGTGCCCTGCCTGCAGTTTGACTGTTCTTTCTGCCTGGAAACTTAGAAAAGTCCATGGCGTCCAAAAAGCGTCCCTTTACGTCAAAAGCGGTTTTAGAACAGCGATAGTAAATCAGAACCACTTGCAGAATTGAGTGATAATGATTCGTGGGGAAATTCATCAGACACTGAAAACGATTTTGCGACTTTGCTCAGCGATGTGCGAATTTGCCTCTGTATTTCAAATTTCAGTGTTTTTGGTTTGATTATATTATTGAATTAAATGTATTATATTATTTTTTATGATTCTTTAATAAATTATAATTTCGTGTTTCAAGTTATTATCATACCCGGGATGTTTACTAGACTCTTGTTCGGACAGATTTCAGTGAGTTATTCCTAAAAATTACAGCCTACAATAAAAAACTACATATTTCCATGCAAAAAAATGGTACCCGCTTTCAGCACAAAAAAAAAAATCGGAAAGAATCATACCGCCAAGGAGGTTAAACATGTCCAGCAAAAAAAATTTAAAAATCTAATTTCGTCATAAATTCAGGCCAAAATGTATTCTGCTACATGTCTTTGCTAAAAAAAAAACCCAAATAATTCCAACAGGTGTAAATTAATTGCTTTACATGAAAGTTATAGCGTCTACAAATGGCGGTATATATACTGGGATTTTTTGTTTTTTACTTGTAATGGCGGCGATTAGCAACCTATAGTGGGACTGCGGTGGGCATTCTGACACTGGGGGGAACTGACTTTCCCCACTGACACCACTACAGTGCTCAGTGCTAATAAAAAGCACTGACACTGCACTAATGGCAGTGGGCAGGAGGGGGTTAAAACGTGGGGCAATCAAAGGGTTAACTGTGTGCTGTGCTAGAGCATTCAACTGTAAGCACACTGCTTTGTATGGCTGCGCTATGGAGCAGGAGCTGACAAGAGAGAGAACTGGATTTTACATACAGTTCTCTCCCTCCGTCAGTAATGCTGGGCCATCACCGGGTGCCAGTGAGTAAACACTGGCTTGCCCGCGCCCCCTACCCAGAAATGCAAACACACACACTTATTTATTTTGTGTACCTCTGCCGCCCTGTAGCAGTATATCAGCTATAGGGTGGCAGGAAAGTGGTTAAAGCAATTGTATGACTTTAAGGGCTGAAGTTTAGGAGCAGTTGTGCGTTTTTTCCAGCAGCCCTCGAATTCTCCTTTATGTTTTCCTGTGTGTCTATGTACACATAGTAGTTTACAGGCAGTTTAGGTTACAGGCATTTTTTTGAAAGCACAAAAATGGCGTTCAGGAGTAGAGTTTATGCACGTTTCAGACACCAAATGTTTGTAACCGCGTGTAAATGCTTGTACACGTGTTTATGCATGTTTGCATTTAGACGCGTTTTTGGGCTGGTCCATATCCAGATGCTGTCCAGTGCCTTTTTTCTTCATCAATAATGTATTCACAGCGTTTTCCATGTATTCAAATGGACCTAGTACACCAATGAAGTCAGTTCTAGATTTCACATGCAGGAAAAAATGGTAGAACGTGCTGCACTATGCTCATGATAGGATCCATAGTAAATACAACCAGAAAAAACAGGTAATCGCAAAACATACTGCTCTCTCTGCTTCTGCTCTCTCTATTTCTCACAAAATGTTTGAAATAGTGAATTACTTACCATTTTTCAGTGCAGTAAACGCAGTAGGCAAACGCGGCTAAACTGACGTTTTTTAACCTACGTTTTCTAGCAGTCAGTTTCCAGCGGTCTGAAAAGTTTCTCAAACGCTCTGTGTACATGAGCCCTATTGGTAGTTCTTTTCTGATTTTTGTACACATAACCTCTTAGGCTTAGGCCTCATGCACACTGCTGTTCCTAAACATAAGTTTAGGCGCTTTCAGCATTTTGTTTGAAGCCCCTGAACTCAACTCAATAAAAGCCCAACTTGTCCATCCACACATAGGCTTTTATCATGGTTTAGCAGCAGAGTTTAACCACTAGCCTACCGGGCACTTATACCCCCTTCCTGCCCAGGCCAATTTTCAGCTTTCAGAGCTGTTGTACTTTGAGTGACAATTGCACGATCATGCAACACTGTATCCATATGACATTTTTGTAATTTTTTGACACAAATAGAACTTTCTTTTTGTGGTATGTAATCGCCACTGGGTGTTTGATTTTATGCGCTATAAACAAAAAAAAGAGCAAAAATATGTTTTTCTTTGTTTCTATTATGATCAGTGCCCTGATGATCGGTGCTGATCTCTTCTCTGACAATTGCCGGTTATCGGCAGTACTTTACTCACGCTGTGACAGCGTGAGGAAAGTGCAGCTGATAACCGGCAACTGTATTTACCCGGTGATCTGCTGTGATTGGCCTTTTACTACATCACATGATCAGCTGTGTCCGTAGATTGCCAGGTGCGCGCCTCCGGGGGCACGCGGAGGGCGCGTTCTGGGAGGACGTCATATGACGCCCTCCCAGAACTAGACAACCGCGCTGTAATCGTCATTCGGCTATAGCGCGGTTGTAAAGTGGGTAAGGGCAGTTAAACATCCCTCTTCTGAACACAGAAGAATCACATTCAGCAGAGGAACGTTTTGGCCAAAAAACGCCAAGCATTAAAAGTGGTCCCACATTTACACGCTTTTTTTGCTGCCAGTTTACATGTACACTGGTATTGACGTAGATGTTAAGAGACACTGTCATCAAGAAAGACTTTTCAGGATGTTCACAAAAAGAAAAAAAAAAGTACACAACAAGCACTTATTAATGCTGCCACTTCATATCAATTCATTATGCCTCCTCCCACCAGGGTGTTCTGGCTGCTGCCTGTGACACCAACAAAGCAATGCAAAGAGAACAGGATACTTTTTTCACAGAAGTACATAATACAGCAGGTACACATCAGAAATATAAAATGTTGGGTATACATATTCTTTAAGCTGTAAAGCAGCTTGCAATTAGAATCTGCCACTTTAGACCATTATTTATCTTGGGGGGTACTTTGGTCTGCTAAGCAATGTCTCTAATCAATACATGATGTAAAAGATTATGTGACACTGTAAAACGAAAGACAAATGGTATAGTTTATTGATGGGAGCATGTGGGTGCAGGAAAGTAATTAAAGAGTTATACACATGGTATGATGGTCATGGTCAACTAATTAGGACTTAACCTTGTCTTCCTGTTACTGCAGTCTGCAGATTTTAGTCCTGTGCCATACACTTTCACATCTAGCTTACATTAACTGTTCCTGAGCTGCAAAATATGATCCGGACATCAAAAGAAGAATAATAAAACACTCACTACTCATCATCTGCAGCTCAGGAACAGGTAATGAAAATTAGGTGGCATGCTTGGAGCTTGATATTGTGCATTGCAATGGATAAAAGGAGATAGTATGTGAAAACATTTTTTTGGTCAATCCACATCCATATATCCCAGATGTTAGGGTAGAACTGCAGCCTAACACAAACTAATCTTAAAAAAAAGTTCCCTCCACCCTCCTGCTACCCGACCTGTTTAGAAAATGATGTGTGTACTTCCCTATTTTGTGTCCGTTCCAGTCCAGTTATGTGATATCTTGTGTCACTAAGTGGTGATTGCAGGAGTGAGGGAGGAAGCTCTCAACAACAACTAGGAATTCCCGGAGCTGTAACATCATCCATAGGTTATCATGTCCCAGCCTTTGTCAGTACTCCCTCTTTTCCCCTATAGTCACCACTCATTGACACAACAGATCTTGTGACTGGAATGGACTAAAAATACAGAAGTATACACTTTTTTTTTTTTTTTTTTTTTACACAGGTTAGGTAGCGAGAGAAGGGAGGGAGCGTTTTTAAGACTATTCAGTGGCAGTCTGGAATTCTACTTTAAGGATTTGTTTGTACAAGTTCAGTAAAAGGAAGTCTGTATTGAACCAAAAGTCTTAATAAAAACATTCAAAAGACTTAAGAAAAGCTGATGACTTTGGAATAAACAATGAACAATATGCAACCAGACAAAAGGGTAAATAACAAAAAGGCATGGTCAGCATATACACATTTATTTTCCTTTATTTATACAGTGCCAAGCCATTCCTCTGCACTTTACAGAATACATCAGGCTATTTAATTCAGCCCTTTCCCAGAGGAGCTTACAGTCTAATATCCAACCACAAGCATCTAATCTACGGGTAGGGTTGTGGAACAAATCTAGTTCATGCACAGGAACAACAAATGAAAAAAAAATGTAAAAACTTTAGGCTAATGATGTTTTCTGGGGGGTGTATTTCAGGAGCCCAGTGTTGCAAAGCAAGAGTACACACCACAATTCTGGCATAGTCTAGGGCTAGGCCATAGTTGCATTGTGGCTCAATTCCGGGTTTGGTTCAGAAGACATACCTATTTATGCCAGCAGCATTGACCAGGTAGGTAACATGACCAATACTTCTCACAATCTCTTGAAATGTGTTTTGTACTTCTTGTTCTTTAGTGATATTGCAGTTAAGAGCCAGATGAGCTGTACAACAGATTACACAGAAAAGATAAAGAATGCCATGCTTAACAAGTGCACAAGAACAACAGCAACTACAAAGTGCTAATGCAGTTTTAAATACTATTATTAACATTAACAAAGTATAGTGAATACGTAATAATCCCACAGGGCTTCAGACACGATAAATCCTAGTGCTTATTTCTCACAACTGTATATGCAGTACAATTGCACTGGAAAAAAAAAAAATGATGCGCATCTTACTCCCATCGAACAGTGGATGTTTATGTGTACAGTGCAAATTTTTATTTCATGTTTTTGAGTATTCGTGTTTTATATAAAATGGATAGTAAAATAAGAAATATGCTTATTGAAGCCAGTGCACTCTGTTTTCAGTTTTGTTTGAACTAGCAAGGTATGCAAATGATGTGTAAGAAAAAGCCAACCATCCTTTCTGTTAAGACACTTTCTGGGATCCCATTCCTTTAATGCAGAGGAGTCTCCAAAGTTTCTAAACAATGGGCCAGTTTACTGCCCTTTATCCTTTAGGAGGATTGGAGCACGATTGGGAGTACGACTGGCATTGGGGGTAAACAGTCCAATCATTTGTATTAGGGGAAATTAGTGTCCATCGTGGCATCAGGGGGAACGGTAAACAGTCCAATCATTTCGTATTAGGGGAGGATTAGTGCCCCATCGTCGGCGTCAGCGGGAGGAGCGGTGCCCCACATCGTCGGCGTCAGCGGGGCGGTGCCCCATCGCGGGTCAGCGGGAGGAACGGTGCCCCATGTCGGCGTCAGCGGGAGGACGGGATCGTCGGTGTCAGTGCCCCATTGTTGGTGTCAGTGGGAGGAATAGTGTTCCATAACTGGTATCAGTGGAAGGAATATTGCCCCATGTGTTGATGTCAGTGGAGGAATTATTCCCTCCATCGTTGGTGTCAGTGGAAGGAATAGTGCCACAGGGGTCACATAAAGATTAGCAAAGAGCCACATTTGGCCCCCGGGTCGCAGCTTGGAGACCACTCCTTTAATGCTTATACACTAGTTGGAAGAAAGAGAATAAAAACTACAAGCTACTCCATCCTCTGAACACAACAGTGTGACTTTTCAAGATTACAGACAGCAATCTGTATCAAACTTAGAAGACAACTCAGCTTCAGCATTTGAGACTGGGCTACTAGCCCAGTCAAGGGATCACATGATGAGAGTTGTCTTTGGCACGCTTCAGTGGAATGGACTTAAAAATGATACTAAAGTTTTTGTTGTTTTTTCCCTAAAAAAGCAAAGCATGCTATTACTTACTTGCTCTGTGCAATGGTTTTGCACAGAGCAGCATGGATCCTCCTCTTCTCAGTTCCCCCGCCAGCACTACTGGCCTATTCCTCCTGTTGAGTGCCCCCATAGCACACAGCCTGCTATGGGGGCACTCAAGTCACACTCTGTTTGTCCAATCATACACACAGAGCCATGGATCATTCCCGCCCCCTCCCTCTCCTGATTGGCTCACTGGCTGTGATTGACAGCAGCAGGAGCCATTGGACTCCCTAGAGAACCGAGGTTGTTGTGGACATCGCTGGATCAAGAGGGGGCTCAGGCAAATGTTAGAGAGGGCAGGGGGAGCTGCTGCACAAAGAAGGTTTTGTTACCTTCTTGCATAGAATGCATGATGGTAAAAAACTTTGAGACTTTAGAACCATTGTAATGCCAAAGGTACACTCATTAAAGTGGTACAGGATATTTGGTGGTTTGCAACCTAGACTTTACTGTTTTGCGTATTTATAGGTTATGTTTAGATACTGACAGTGTTTAGGTATTAAAATACTATTATACCATTAAGAAACTATAAAAAAGGGTTGGGTTTTGCCTTCGGATGGGCCTTGGTTCTTTTCACCTGCTTTCTTTTCTTCCTGAGGGAGGGGTTTTGACGTCACGACGCTCGATGGTACCATACTGACACCAGCTAGCAATTTTAGGATTTTCACCTGGGAAAAGGTTTTGGGGGACACATTTTGTGCACAAAGCAGTTTTAGCATAGAGTAAATGTGAGTGCATTACTTTTGTTAATAAAAATTATTTTTAAAGGGTAATACACTAGGATTTGATTCATTCCTCTATAATAATCACCGTGGAAGGGCAGTTTATCGTTTGAGTGAAGAAGGACCCCAAACAGCAGGATACCATCCCATCCATACTTTGGCCCATTTAAAGGGACACAAGCATTATATGCTCTTACTTAACGGTTTGGTCATATATTTAAGGTGGGGGAGCACGTTTATGCAAGTTATTCGCACTTAATATTTTTTAAGAAGCACAGGATATTATACGCTAAAGCAAAGTTTGCACGTTTGAAGAAACTCATATATGGATTTTTCTTTTGACTACTTATAACAATCATATGGACACTGTTGTTGCAAATCATCATTGGTTCATTCACGGTTTCATTTATTTTGATATATAAGTGGATGCACAATTGTATAAATTTTTATTCATTTATATATTTGGATATGTATCAGAAATATTAGTGATTGGGTACACACTTTTGAAGTGAAGTGCGGCACATTATGTTTTTTTGACATATCTTCTGCCTGCCTTGCGGGACTATTATATAAATTTCTTATTTAGAGAATAACCATTTCTTTCGTTATGGTTGTTAAATTGCATTAAAAATATTGAAACAAAACTATAAAAAAGGCTTTTTGCAATAATTTTTTTAACCAGTATACTAAAATCTGTTTGTTATATGTTAATTTTTACTTTGTAAGCAATCATTATCCTCTGCACAGCCTCACTGAATAAACGTGAAAGAGAGTTACTTTCAATGATAAGGCAAGTTAAGTCCCTGGTAATTTACCTGCGACCCCATATTATTTATTGTGGTGCCACAGACCCCGGCATGTTTCTATATCTAGGTGCTTAGTCACAAATGATCAGCTTATGACTTGGAACATACAGCAGGTAAAATAAGTATTGAACACATCACCATTTTTCTCAGTAAATATATTTCTAAAAGGTGACATGAAATGTTTACATGTCGGCAATAGCCCCTGCAATCCATACAAAGAACCCAAAACAAATAAGTTCAGAAATTAAGTTATGTGTAATAAAAATGGGATGACAGGGGAAAAAGTATTGAACACATGAAGAAAGGGGGGTGCAAAAAGGCATGGAAAGCCAAGACACCAGGCAAAATCAAGCAGTAATTAAAAAGCAATCCTGCCTCTTCTCAGTGTAAATTAATATTAGCTGGTTCATTCTTAACTGATGGCCTATAAAAAGGTGTCTCATTACCAAAGTGTCACACAAGAAACATCTCATGATGAGTAAAAGCAAAGAGCTCTCAAGACCTTTGCAACCTTATTGTTGCAAAATATACTGATGGCATTGGCTACAGAAAGATTTCTAAACTTCTGAATGTTCCAGTGAGCACTGTTGGGGCCATAATCCAGAAGTGGAAAGAACATAATTTCACAATAAACCAGCCACAACCAGGTGCTCCGTGCAAGATTTCTGACAGAGGAGTGAAAAGAATTATCAGAAGAATTGTCCAAGAGCCAAGGACCAGTTATGGAGAGCTTTAGAAAGACCTGAAATTAGCAGGTAGAATTGTTTCAATGAAAAACAATAAGTAATGCACTCTGCCACCATAGCCTGTATGCATGCTCACAAGACTCCATTGCTGAAGAAAAAGCATGTTGAAACTTGTTTAAAGTTTGCTGCACAACATTTAGACAAGCCTGTGAAATATTGGGAGAATATAGTCTGGTCAGATGAGAACAAAATTGAACTCTTTGGATGCCATAATATTACACACCATGTTTGGATGTCGAATGGCACTGCACATCGCCCCAAAAACACCATACCAACAGTGAAGTTTGGAGGTGGGAACATCATGGTGTGGGGCTGTTTTTCAGCATACGGTTTTGGCAAACTCCATGTCATTGAAGGAAGGATGAATGGAAAAATGTACCAAGACATTTTTGATAAACATCTGCTCCCATCTACCAGGATGATGATGAAACGAGGGTGGACATTTCAGCAAGACAATGATCCCAAACACAAAGCCAAGGAAACTATCAACTGGTTTCAAAGAAAGAAAATAAAGCTGCTAGAATGGCTCAGCCAATCACCTGACTTGCATCCAATAATAAATCTATGGAAAGAACTAAAGATCAGAGTTCATAGAAGAGACCCACGAAACCTTCAAAATTTGAAGATGGTTTGTGTGGAAGAATGGGCCAAAATCACACCTCAGCAATGCATGTGACTAGTTTCTCCACACAGGAGGTGTCTTGAAGCTGTCATTACCAACAAATGTTTTTGTACAAAGTATTAACTAAATTGCAGCGTGTTCGATACTATTTCCCCATGTCATTCCATTTTTTTTTTTTTTTTTTTACACATAACCTCATTTCTGAACTTATTTGTTTTGGTTTCTTTGTGGGTTTGGATTGCATGGGTTGTTACCGACATATGAAAATTTCATGTCAATAGCACCTTTAGAAATATATTTACCGACAAAAATGGTGATGTGTTTCTTATTTTACCAGCTGTATGTGTTCCATGACTTGACCCATGGTTCTGTAATATATGCCTGGAAGGCCTCCTTCCACTATGCCAGTGTTTCTCAACTCCAGTCCTCATGGACCCCCAACAGGTCATGTTTTCAGGATTTCCATTATTTTGCACAGGTGATTTGATCAGTTTCACTGCCTTAGTAATTACCACAGCTATTTCATCTGAGGGAAATCCTGAAAACATGACCTGTTGGGGGTCCATGAGGACTGGAGTTGAGAAACACTGCACTATACATTGAGTCAGTGATTGTCAAAACACAGAAACAAACACATAATCATTTTGCCTTCTATTTACAAACCTCCAAGTTCTTCGGCTGTGGCTGAGGCAGCTTCCAGATTTCTGGATAGAATAGCCACTTTATAATCTTTTTGAACTAGTAACTTGGCAACAGCTTTTCCAATCCCTCTGGATCCTCCAAAGACAGCACACACTTTACTCATCTAGAATACAAAACAAAATTTTATATATTACATAGAAAAAACATTTTTTTTCATTAATGATCACAAGAAAAGATATTTTACATTTATATCTGTTTTTTTGTAACTATCAAGAAATTGCAACTTATTTTGCAGTTAACGATGTCCCAGTTCTTTATCTTATCACAAAATTACTATGCTGAGTTCATATTTAAAAACTTTTAGCCCTTAGGTTATACCAGCTGTAGCCACGATCCTAGTACCAACATTTTCAGCCAGCGACTGGCTTTCATGAAAAAGTGATCCAAGTGGCTCTACAGCCACCCAATCACTTTTACAGGCCACTGAAAGGGCCCACCCCCCTCTTCTGCCAATGTTGTCAGGCTCTCCCATGCTATTGGCGAGCCCGGGATTGCTGCAAGCAAACAGGTTGGCTGCAAACAGAGAGGGACAACCTTTCCTCCCCTTCCTGCGATAGATAATAGCGACATGTATTACCTCATTTCTGGTTTCAGCTCTTTGTTTATTGGCTGAAATAGGGCAGTGAAGTAACCAATCTAGACTTGATCAGCTGCTTTGGAGGGCAGAGGAGAAATCCAGGGTCTAAAAGACCCCAGCTCACTTCAGAAAGAGTACTTGTCACTGCCCCAGCTATCACAAGGGCTGCTGTTCAATCCCAGTGATGGCAATAACGTTAAATAAAAAACAAAGAATTAAAGAGAAGATTAAATAAGATGTAAATAAAACTACTATTAAAAAAAAAAAAAAAAAACCATTTAAAAGCACCCGTCTCCCTGTGCTCATGTGCAAATGCGAACATGCATGTAGGTTCTGCACGCATATAAACATAAACACACACAAACCTAGCGATAATACAGGATAGATATATATATATATATATATATATACATACATATATACATACACACACATATACACATACATACATACATATATATATACATACATACATATACACACATATATACAGGATATGGAAAATGTTATAAACATGAACAAACACCCACACAGGTTGAAATGGATGGACTGGAGTCTTTATTCAACCTTAAAAACTATGTAACTATGCACTGTATGTGTAAATGGTGATTGCACCACACTTGTCAAGTATAACTGCAAACGTCAGAATGAGAGCAATAATTCTAGGACCAGGGCTCATGTTTAACTTTTAACTGCTAACCTGATTTTAAAGCACAGCTTCTGGAAATTTATAGGTACCATAATTTGTCATCACTTCATGGGCGAATGAAATTCTAAATCTTGATTTGCTTTGTAGCTATTTACTTGGCGCAACTTCATTTTTTATATTTAAAAAAAACAGCAAAAAATAGTGCAGCGCTTCTTTACGTACCAAAACCAATGTAATATTCTGCCCCAACACCAATGCTTGTGCTAAACAATAGGATACATCCCAACACATGCGTTTAAATAAATATCTTCTAAAAGTCAAACATGCACACATACAAACACAGATATCTTGTGGTCACACTATAAATCAGCTCATGCACCCATACAGTGTGCAAGAAAGGTCAGACAAAAATCCCCCCAAATCACATAAATATTTTGTGCAACAGCAGCATCACTCCACTGGGAATCATCAGTATGGTGATATCCAAACAATACGTCACCCTGGTGCACTCTTGGATGTGCCCTCACTCTTGTGTTGTCTCCACTTTCTAGTGCTGCTTGGGAAAAAAAAAAAAAAAAAAAAAACTCCATAGTGCTCACCATTTCTTTATTAAAAACAGCCTAAAAATGTTGCACTCACATTTATGTAAATATGTACATGTGATTCCACAATAGAAATTAGTCTGATAGTAGTCCTCAGTGTTGCCGTGGGCTCACCCAGCATGAGGACACCAATAGACCACATGGCTGAGACATTCCCTGCCCCATAGCCACCAGTAAACAAGGGGCATGTATACATGAGGCTGCAGGGAATGCCTCAGCCCCTTATAATTGGCCCAGTACGGTGAGTGTTTTTGGCACTTGGAGGAGCACTGCACTATTTAGTTTTATTGTTATTTAAGTGTTTAGTGAATGCACATTATTGGTAGCTGCTCTTCCAGAGATATAGTTGTTTTGTATTTCTGATAGAGGTAGCACAGGGATATTTATTATTTTTTATCTTTTATACATTAAAAAAAAAAAAAAAAAAAGGAGTATTGTATTGGGTTTGTGTGCACTAAAATTCATTTAAGTGTACTTTTTCCTAAAAATTTGCACTTGATAAACAGATGAGAAAATATCATGCTATATAAACATACCAAGTACCATTTTATTCTCAAGGACTTCTGCTTTCAGAAAATACACAATATGTGGGGGTTCTAAGTAATTTTCTAGCAAAAAACAACAAACAAATCTTTTTGTGAGAAATGTCAAAACTGGCCTGGACCATAGTGTCTGGTCCATGTTTTATACTTTGGGAAAATAAAACAAAATCGGGCTTGTTTACACATGCAGTGGTGTTCACCGCTCCTTTGAGTCCTCATGCACACATGGACGTTTTTATAGCGGCTGTTTTTGATGTTTTTTTCTACAGCTAGTAAACCCCCCCAGCATGTTATCCTGTGTCCATGCACACATAGACTGTAATTAATGTGTTTTGACAGGGACATTTATTGGCTGGAAAAAAAACCCCAGAACTAGTGATTTTTTAGCTGTAAAAAATGCTCTAAAGCTGAAAAAACGCTGCAAACCGGCATTTTTGGACCTTTTTTTGACAAAAAAAAAAAAAAAAACTGCTGAAAAAATGTTTTTAACGTGACTTTACACAGCTAACGCTGCCAGCGTTATCACAACGTCCAGTATGCATGGAGCCTGAAAAGTGATCCATGGTGGACTGCTTTTCAGAGGGCTGTTGATAGGTGGCTGGGACGTGTTAGTGGTCACATGCAGTATGGAGTTCAATGCCAAAAATTAAAGCCATCATCTTATAGATAAACGCGTCCAGTCTTATATGTTCTTAAAAATCTACATAAAAAAATTATTGATTTATACAAATTAGAATTAATAGTAAGTTTACTGACAGAAGCTGTTGCTGTTAAATTTAGTATGGGCATCCAAGCATCAACGCCCCCTATTCATTGAAGGGTTCAATTAATATATAAAAATATAGTGTGTTATGGTGACAGAATCACTTTAAATTGGAGTATTTCTTGTAGGAAAGCAAAGGCAAATCTTTCAATCCATGGGTGCTAGGAAGGGGATCCACAGGTCTCAAGGTGAGGTCCAAAATTTCAGCTTCTTGCCAACACGCACAATGACCTTTTTGGAGCAACCTGTCCACCACTGCCTTGGATCAAGAGTTCCAGTACAGACGAGGCCGGGTGGTGAGAGCCAAGTGTCCCAGAGAAAGTTGAAGTGGTAATGAAACAGTTATAGGCCTTGTTCACACATGAGTACTAAAGCGCACACCCATGCAAAGGGCTATGTCTGCCTGCATGGGATTCACACGTGTTCCATACATCCATGTGCAGGCAGTCCCATTCATGTCAATTGGAATGCAGCAGCTGCACGGACACAGCGGCTTCTCCCAATTTGACATCCGTGAGGAGGTTTGTGTTTAGCAACATGCTGATGTGAAACTGGGAGCAGGGGCTGTGTCAGGGCTCTTTCACCCCCATCCTTTCCTGTATATCTCAGCCCTAGTCTGTCTGTGTTTTAACCCCTCACCTCCTTTCCTGTATATCTCAGCCCTAGTCTGTCTGTGTTTTAACCCCTCACCTCCTTTGTCCTACACACCTATTAACCCTTCATCTCCAACCTCCCACTGTATGTGACCTGTACAATAACTCCCCCCCCTCTCTCTCTCTCTCCCCCCCCTCTCTCTCTCTCTCTCTCCCCCCCCTCTCTCTCTCCTCCATGTCCCTTAATTAAAAAAAAAAAAAAAAAAAAGTAGGAAAAAATGAGATGAGGGTATTTAGTTTTGAAAAAAAAGGGGTGGTTTGGGAGTATTTTGTACTGTCCTGCCATTTTCATTTGAGATATTTTATAACAGAAAGGAAAATGTAGCCCTTTTTTCTAGATCTGTAAAAAATAAAAAAAAACTGCAGTTATTAAAATACCATCAAAAGAAAGTGATTTCTGTTTAAAAAAGGAGGGAATATTCATTTGGGTAGTGTTGAATGCGCAATTTTCAAACTATCAAAGCACTGTAAACTGAAAAAAAAAAATACCTAGAATTGAAGGGGTATTACAGGCTGGTATTCAAGTGGTTCATTGGATCAAAGTTTTAACCATAAAACAATTTCAATAAATAATTGTTTACATCAAATTGACTTTACTTAACCAAGTGAAGACCCAGCCTTTTCTGGCACTTTTTGTTTACATGTAACAATCAGTATTTTTTACTACAAAAATTCTTAGAACCCCAAAGCATGGAATATTTTTAAAACAGAGGCCCTAGAACAAAAATTGGTGGGTTTTGCAATTGTTTTGGGGAAAATATGCATTTTAATGCAAATAAAACACAATACATAATCCAAACCCAACTCAAGATTGCTGTGATCAAATGCTTCTCTTTTTTACACAGTGTATTTCCGGGTAAATCAGAAGTAACGTAAGGTCATCGCAGGTTACTAGATCATTGACCTGAATAAAGCTGATCCAGTTTTTGTTGGACTCTGTGATCAGCTTGTGGAAATACTGGCTGGTTGGTTGGTTGGGACTCCTGGTGGGACGAGAGATCATGTTGAAGGTGGAGGGATGGGGGGTCCCCTCCTGCAGCTTGTATTAGCCACTCCAATTGCTACTGCAAGCCAGCCACCATCAGCCCTAAAAAAACAAAAGAACAACAGGGTGATGCCTGCAGCTCAGGCATCATCCTGGTACAACCACTTTTAGTCCAGTGACGTACCCGGTATGTGACTGGCCAGCAAGTGTTTAAATTAGCTTAGTCCCCATGGCTCAAGCCATAAATCAAACTTAAGAACTTAAAGTGATACTAAAGTCTTGTTTTAAAATATAACAAAAAGCAAACATGTCATACTTACCTGCTCTACACAGTGGTTTTGCAGAGCAGCCAAGATCCCCCTCTTTTTGCCCCCCCCCCCCCAGCACTCCTTGCCCCTCCCTCCTGTTGGGTGCCCCCACAGCAAGCAGCTTGCTATGGGGGAACTTGAGCAGGTGAGCTCATGAGCTGCAGCTCTGCGTGTCCATTCACACACACAGAGCCATGGTTCAGCCCTGCCCCTCCCTCTCCTGATTGGCTCACTGGCTGTGATTGACAGAAGTGGGAGCCAATAGCCTCTGCCAACATTGTTGGATCGGGATGGGGCTCAGGTAAGTGTTGGGGGGGGGGCTGATACACACAGAAGGTTTTTTACCTTCATGGATAGAATGCATGAAGTCAAAAAACCTTGAGCCTTTAGAACCACTTTAAGAATGCCCCCCTCTGGGACTATAAAAGTGACATCTCCACACAAATGAAAAACGTCATATCAAAAAAATGTCACCACAACTCAAACCATGAACAAACCTGCCAACTGTTCCCCTTTGAGCTAACAGGCGACCCCACAATACAATGAATGTCTAAGACAAAAAAGGGAGGGGAGCACCATAGCTATGCCTTCTGAGGAGACTGGGCCAGCTGGGACGGGAAACCCCTTTATATAGCCCCCAAGGGGCTTCTAAAAGCTTTCCAAGAGGTCATCTGGCCTTCTAGATGTCTCCCCACATACCACAGCTTTCCTTTCATGGGACCACATGATTACAGATTAGTCATTAAAGCAGAACTTTACTTATAACAACTGATAAAAAAAAATAATGTTCTTTAGCAAGGAACATACATTCCACATTAGCTGGTTCCCCGCCACCCTATAGCAGAGCTACTGCTAGAGGGCGGCAGGGCTATGCAAAATCCCACATTATATATATATATATATATATATATATATATATATATATATACACATACATACATACATACATACACATATACTGTACATACACACACACACATACATGATTTTGCATTTCCGGGTAGGGGGCGTGAGCCACCATTGGCGGTTACAGCTGTCAATCACCGTGTCCCTGACGGAGATTCCCCACAGGCACCAGGCGATCACCAAGGAACAGTGACAGGGGAGAGGTCTGTGTGTAAACAACACAGATCTCTCCCGTCAGCATGAACAGGCTGCTTTGTACTGCTCTGCACAGCAATACAAAGCAGCTTTTCTACATAGTAAAACACACACAGCACACTAGGGAAAGCACAACACAATGTTAACCCTTTGATTGCCCTAGATGTTAACCCCTTCCTGCCCAGTGTCATTGGGATGTCAGTGGCAGTCAGTTCAACCCCAGTGTCAGAATGCCCTCTGCAGTCCCGCTATAAGTTGCTGATCTACGCATTTTGGCTTAAATTTATGACGGAATTGATTTTTTCTTACTGGATACTTTTTATAGCAAAAAGTCAAAAATATATTTTTTTTCAAAATTGTCGGTCTTTTTTTGTTTATAGCGCAAAAAAAGAAAAAACGCAGAGGCAATCAAATACCACCAAAAGAAAGTTCTATTTGTGAGGAAGAAGGACATAAATTTCATTTGGATACAGCGCTGCATGACCGTGCAATTGTCAGTTAAAGTAATGCAGTGCCATATTGCAAAAAATGGTCTGGTCAGGAAGGGGGGGGGGGGGTAAATCCGATGGAGGGCAAGTGGTTAATAATTATGCAAGCAAAATTAGTGTGTGCTATAAATTGCCTCCATCATTGTTCCCGTTTTTTGTTGAATTCCAGAGCCCTGTGCAGCAGTTACAGTAGAACTACACCCTCCTATCCTTTTCAGCCAAGGAAGCTGCTATCTGTTTGATCTGCAACTGCCATTACGCTGCACATGCAATCAGTTATTATGACAGCAGCCATTTGATGGTTTGACAGTTTGGTTGAGAACAGAAGTAAATGTGACAGTTAGCATTCCTGGCATGCTGGGAATGTAACAGTTTTTTTTAAAAATGTTAAATCATTAGGTTTAGTTCTGCTTTGGAGCTCATTCACACCATGGTGTAGAGACGTCAGTTTTTCTGCATGCGTTCTGCAAGGGCACAACAAAATCAATTGTTCTCCATGTGCCCTGTTCACACTACAACACTGGTACCATGTGCAGATTTTTATCTGTGCAGGAATCTGCAATGTGTATAAAACTCACTGAAGCGTGCATGAAAAAGATATAAACTGTTGTCTCTGCAAGTGAAAGCTGTGCGTCAGGTTAAACCAGTTTTTCTGCACATATGGTGTGAACGATGCCTTACACCCAGGTGACACTGTTCCCGACTTAAGTCGCACGATTTCAAAGTCGGATGACATGCCGATTTGAGGTGTGATTTGCACGGCACATTGATGTCTACGCAAATCGCACCAAAAGTAGTGCATGCAATACTTTAGAAATCGGCACGGCTCTGACCAGGTCAGAACAGCACCGATATGACCGCTGTAATTGCGGACAATAGGGTGCGACTTGCCATGCAATTTGCACATGGTATTGCATGCAAGTCGCATGCCAAGTCGCATGCCAAGTCGCACCCAGTGTGAACGAGGACTTACTGTCAGCAGATCGGCCTCTACAAATTCGGCAGCGCCTAAAAATGGAGAGCAACTGAGCATGTGCAGAGCAGGGTAAGACAGTGTATTATTGGATTTTAAACGGTATAGCAATGTATTTGTAATGTTTTACATGGATAATCCTGCAAAAGGGGCCAGCCTGACGTGATCTAACAGGACTTCATTTACTGACTAAGGTTCCACTTTAATCAACACAGCTTCCAGTCATTATATGAGAGCCATAGCATTCCTCTCCACCCAAAACTGAAAGCCCCAAGTCCCAAAAGGCATCTGTATTGTACTAGTCACCAGTAGTTCCTACAACTTCACTCCTATCCTTACAATGGACAGAATCCAGCCGCTCCAATCTACACCTCACCACACATCAATGTATCCGTCAGATTCATCAAAAGAGTGGAGGTCACAGTTCTATCACTGAAACTGCTGCTCCCTCCATTGCCTTAGCAGACAAATCATATATATCATCACAGTACCACTCCGCAGGTTTCCTTCCAGCCTGTCCTTCCTAGATAAACCAGCTCCACACTGCTCTACTCCTCTTCCTGCGTTCCAAGCCTCGCTCTGGCTCCTGGTGACCTCAGTAGGTCATGTGACCTCCTTCACTGCTGTACAAAGAGCTCCTCCTCATGTGGTGAAGTGACGGGGCCAAGTCCGTGCACATCTCTCACCTCTAGATAAAGTAAGTGTGTGTGCGCGTGCGCACTGCCCCAACCTATAACTGGCCTTTGCAGCAAGGAGCACGTGGAAGGGCCACGCATGTCCAACAACAAAGAAAAATTCCCAGCTCAGCTTACCAACCAACCGAACTGCCCTGTCTAACAGCTGGACCCCACATTCTCTATATCCACTCTCCCCAGACCCGCATTCTCTATATCCGCTCTCCTCGGACCCCGCGTTCACCGTATGCTCTCTCCCCGGACCCCGTGTTCACCGTATGCTCTCTCCCCGGACCCCGCGTTCACCGTATGCTCTCTCCCCGGACAGCGCGTTCACCGTATGCTCTCTCCCCGGACAGCGCGTTCACCGTATCCGCTCTCCCGGACAGCGCGTTCACCGTATCCGCTCTCCCCGGACAGCGCGTTCACCGTATCCGCTCTCCCCGGATCCCGCGTTCACCGTATCTGCTCTCCCCGGACCCCGCATTCACCGTATTCGCTCTCCCCGGACCCCGCGTTCACCGTATTCGCTCTCCCCGGACCCCGCGTTCACCGTATCCGCTCTCCCCGGACCCCGCGTTCACCGTATCCGCTCTCCCTGGACCCCGCGTTCACCGTATCCGCTCTCCCCGGACCCCGCGTTCACCGTATCCGCTCTTCCCGGACCCCGCGTTCACCGTATCCGCTCTCCCCGGACCCCGCGTTCACCGTATCCGCTCTCCCCGGACCCCGCGTTCACCGTATCCGCTCTCCCCGGACCCCGCGTTCACCGTATCCGCTTTCCCCGGACCTCGCGTTCAATGTATCCGCTCTCCCCGGACCCCGCGTTCACTGTATCCGCTTTCCCCGGACCTCGCATTCTCTATATCCGCTCTCCCCGGACCCCGCAATCACTATAGCCGGTCTCCCCGGCCCCCGCATTCTCTATATCCACTCTCCCCGGACCCCGCATTCTCTATATCTGCTTTCCCCGGACCCCGCATTCACTATATCCGGTCTCCCTGGACCCCGTTTTCACTATATCTGCTCTCCCCAGACCCCGCATTCACTATATCCACTCTCCCACAGTACCATAGTTGCAAACATTTTAAAAAAATTTCTAGGGACACTTTTTTTTAATCGGATGTCCAGAAAGCCAGTGTAGGCGGATCAATATGTAAATTAGGGACGGGGCATCAATTGTGGGTGTGGCTTTAATTACTTTAAGTGTTGGGCATTGCTTAAAGGGGGTGTGGTTAAACAGAGTGAGATTTTCTTGGGCTCCCCCATACAATTTTGCTCTCCACCCCAACAGCCCAAAAAACAAATAAACACACAGACTTATCTAAAAAAAAAAAAAAAAAAAAAAAAATTAATAATGCAAACATAAAGAACTGGTCCACACTCAGTGATTAGTTGCTAGAGGTTACAGCACATTACCTCTCGGAGGGTCAGAGATTGCAGACATAGTACAGGAGACGGTCAGAGACTGTGGACATGGCGCAAGGGATGGTCAGAGACTGCGGACATAGTACAGGAGATGGTCAGAGACTGCAGACATGGCACAAGGGATGGTCAGAGACTGCGGACATAGTACAGGAGATGGTCAGAGACTGCAGACATGACACAAGGGATGGTCAGAGAATGCGGACATAGTACAGGAGATGGTCAGAGACTGCAGACATGGCACAAGGGATGGTCAGAGACTGCGGACATGGCACAAAGGATGGTCAGAGACTGTGGACATAGTACAGGAAACGGTCAGAGACTGCAGACATGACACAAGGGATGGTCAGAGACTGCGGATATGGCACAATGGATGGTCAGAGACTGCGGACATACTACAGGAGATGGTCAGAGACTGCGGACATGACACAAGGGATGGCCAGAGACTGCGGACATGGCACAAGGGATGGCCAGAGACTGCGGACATGGCACAAAGGATGATCAGAGACTGTGGACATAGTACAGGAGATGGTCAGAGACTGCGGACATAGTACAGGAGGCGGTCAGAAACTGTGGACATGACACAAGGGATGGTCAAAGACTGCAGACATGGCACAAGGGATGGTCAGAGACTGCGGATATAGCACAGGAGACGGTCAGAGACTGTGGACATGGTACAGGAGACGGTCAGAGACTGCGGACATGACACAAGGGATGGCCAGAGACTGCGGACATAGTGCAGGAGACGGTCAGAGACTGCAGACATAGTGCAGGAGATGACCAGAGGCTGCAGACATAGTAGTGCAGGAGACGGTCAGAGACTGTGGACATAGTACAGGAGATGACCAGAGGCTGCGGACATGACACAAGGGATGGCCAGAGACTGCGGACATAGTACAGGAGACGGTCAGAGACTGCGGACATGACACAAGGGATGGACAGGGACTGCAGACATGGCACAATGGATGGTCAGAGTACAGTATGCTCCACCACAAATATTACAGTATGCTCTGCCATATATATCACAGCATGCTCCACCACAAATATCAAAGATGCTCCACCACAAATATCAAAGATGCTCCACTATAAATATCATAGATGCTCCGCCATAAATATCACAGTATGCTCCGCCATAAATATCATAGATGCTCCGCCATAAATATCACAGTATGCTCTGCCACACAGTATGCTCCACCATAAATATCACAGTATGCTCCGCCATAAATATAGATGGTCCGCCCATAAATATCACAGATGCTCCACCATAAATATCACAGTATGCTCCACTATAAATATCACAGTATGCTCCGCCATAAATATCATAGATGCTCCGCCATAAATATCACAGTATGCTCTGCCACACAGTATGCTCCACCATAAATATCACAGTATGCTCCACCATAAATATCACAGATGCTCCGCCATAAATATCACAGTATGCTCCACCATAAATATCACAGTATGCTCCGCCATAAATATCATAGTATGATCCGCCATATATATCATAGATGCTCCGCCATAAATATCACAGTAGGCGCCACCATAAATATCACAGTATGCTCCACCATAAATATCACAGTATGATCCACCATAAATATCACAGTATGCTCCACCATAAATATCATAGTATACTCCACCATAAATATCACAGTATGATCCACCATAAATATCACAGTATGCTCCGCCGTAAATATCACAGTATGATGTGCCATAAATATCACAGTATGCTCCACCATAAATATCACAGTATGCTCCACCATAAATATCACAGTATGATCCACCATAAATATCACAGTATGCTCCACCATAAATATCACAGTATGCTCCGCCATAAATATCATAGATGCTCCGCCATAAATATCACAGTATGCTCTGCCACACAGTATGCTCCACCATAAATATCACAGTATGCTCCACCATAAATATCACAGATGCTCCGCCATAAATATCACAGTATGCTCCACCATAAATATCACAGTATGCTCCGCCATAAATATCACAGTATGCTCCGCCATAAATATCATAGTATGATCCTCCATAAATATCATAGATGCTCCGCCATAAATATCATAGTATGATCCGCCATAAATATCATAGATGCTCCGCCGTAAATATCACAGTATGATGTGCCATAAATATCACAGTATGCTCCACCATAAATATCACAGTATGCTCCACCATAAATATCACATTATGATCCACCATAAATATCACAGTATGATCCACCATAAATATCACAGTATGATCCACCATAAATATCACAGTATGCTCCACCATAAATATCACAGTATGATCCACCATAAATATCACAGTATGATCCACCATAAATATCACAGTATGATCCACCATAAATATCATAGTATGATCCACCATAAATATCACAGTATGATCCACCATAAATATCACAGATGCTCCACCATAAATATCATAGTATGTGCCACCATACTGCCCCCCCCCCCCACACACACATACACAACTCTGCACCCCCCCTCACACACACATGCCCCCAATCATGTAAAGCGGAGAGCACCACCTGACTTCCGAGAGGTGGAGTAGGGGAGTGGTCTGGGTATGTCTATGCAGTCCATGGCAGCTGTCCGTCACAGATTCAACTACTCAGGATTCTGCCTGGGATGAGCTTCCAGCAGGACATTGGTCCAATATTCTGGACTGTCTCGGGCAATTCATGACTGTTGGCAAGTATACACTAGTAGTAACTATAAACTGCTAAATACCTTTTCTCATCAGTAGTTAGAACAGTCTTGTGACTTCAGCAGAGCACTGGTTTAAGCTTGCAGGAGTTTTCTTTCTGCTCTAGGAGGATGCAGAACCCCTGACCTCTGGACATTGCTGATTGGCCCTGTGCTGATCACATGCACTCTCCCAAGGAAAAAAAAACCTCTCTAGCAATACACCCCAAACTGCGCATGTGCAGAATGGCTATGGATTCAGTCTGTATCAGGTGGACATTTGAACAAAAGGAGGGGTAGAGAAGACAGGATCAAACAGCCATTTTACACAATGCAGAGGATTAACCCCTTAGGTTCCACAGTGAGTATAACAAGCATGCTTTACTGCATATACAGGCTGATTTTACTGTTGTGGGTTTAGTAACACTAGGGGTTTAGTTTGCACCCATTTGCAAAAACGTGTGTAAGCTGCCTCTTCACGACACCCCAGTATGCTACAGTCCTAGCTCCATAAATTTTGAGGGTCTCCATAGTAGAAGCGCATATATAATAATGGATAGACTGTGGGCAGGTAAGTCTGGAGAGAGCCCACATACTTGGTGCCCAGTGACACCAATACAGTGATCAGTGCTAATAAAAAGCATTAACACTGTACTAATGACATTGGGCAGGAAGGGGTTAACATCTGGGGAGATCAAAGGGTTAACTGTGTGCTGTGTGTGTTTTACTATGAGGCTGTGTCTGTGCTTTCCACTGTAAGCACACTGCTGGGCAGAGCCATACAAAGCAGTGTGCTGGAGCTGACGGGAAAAACTGTATTGTTTACATACAGTTCTCTCCCCTGTTGGTAAATACTCGGCGATCACCAAGTTCCAGCAATTAATCACTGACCAGGACGCGGTGATTGACAGTCGAGGCCGCAAATGTTGGCGTGGGTAGGGCGCGTGCACCACCTACCCGGAAATGCAAAATCACGTATATATACTTGATTTTATGCACCCCTGCCGCCCTGTAGCAGTATTTCTGCTATAGGGCGGCGGTAAAGCGGTCGAAGAAAAAATCCAGGATTTTTTTTTTACCCATGCAGTGGGCCTGCTCATTTTTGTCTAGGGGTGCAGAGAGTGGGGATATACTTACCTAATCTGGCAATCCTTCAACCGCAAGACCAGTCCCTGCTGCTCCTATCCCCTGCACGCTAGCAGTCTTGTCAATTGAATATTCCTGACATCATGCCCATATACTGGTTTTGAACAAGAGTGAGAGCGTTGTTTTTCAGAGGATCAAAGAATCGGGTAAGTTTAGCCATTTGGTGCGTCCAGGGCCGTGGATAAGGGGGGGGTACCACTAGTCCTCCTGTACGGGGCCCAGGCCAGAAGGGGGGCACAGGCAGCTAGGTGAGTCAGATGTGGGCAGGGAGGGTGATGGGTACGACTGGGGGCATTTACTGGAACCGATCCCCTGTATGGCTCTTCTGCAGCAGCTGAAAGCTGACTTCTTCTCCTCTCCCTCCCACTGGCTTTCAGCTGCTGCAGAGAAAAGCCATACAGCCGCTGCACACATCACCCTCCCTGTGCACCATACATTTCCCCCTGTGTGCCCCACCCCTGCAGTGCTGCTGGCTGCCCTCCTCTCCTTTCTCACCGGCAGCTGCAAGCACACAATAGGATCCTTCAGGATGAAGAGTGGGGGAAATATGTCACATATATCAGCCCCTTCCTTCCCTGAATGAACACAG